CAGAGGCAGCCCCCTACCTTTGCCCGCCTCTGACTGGCCTTGAAAGAGCTCCCTGACCCCGTGCCCAGCAGCGGGCTGTCGACCTCTGATTAGGGACCACCCCACCCTTGCCTCTAGCCTCTGGCCAGCTTCCGTTGAGGCCGTATCTGAGGGTGACCGAGTGCTGAGCGGCAGGGGCTCATCAGGGACTGTCTACTTGAGGCCCGAGGTGGACCGGGCGCCTAAGGCTAGAGGGGTGCCGACCCCTGCAGGCACAGGCTGAGGGCCGGCTCGTCTGCACACCTAGACCTGTCTGATGACCGACACTTGAACTTTTGTCCTGCTCAGTGAACTTCAGGACCGGAGCCCTGACGGACCCCAGCTGGACTCCATTCTGTCTCTTCTGCTTTACTGTGTTAACTCCATGCTTATTCCACTCTGTGTGCGGGGCTCTGCATTCCCCCAAGGGTTCTGGATGTCAGGAAATTCAAAGCCAGGGTCAGGGGCCAGGGGGTGAACTGCTAACCGCAAGGTCAGCTGAAATAGGTCCCTCAGATGACAAGCACAGGAACCAAATACCGTCGGAAAGAACCTTGAATAAACAGCCACACAGGCAGGGCAGGACCCAAGGCAAGGACTGGTCTCTTCCTTCTCTTCAGGGGACACAGCTTCCAGAGTGGCCACGGACCACTCCCTGCTCTTTCCTTCCTCCACATTCCCATGAAGAAATCCCCCAAGGCTTGCAAGCTCTGCCATCCTGCACTGGTGAGGGAGGGGCCCGTTCTCTCGAGCCTGACTCTTGGCCCGGATCCCTCATCCCAGGCAGGTGCAGCGGGGTGTCCCGGCATGGCCCATCAGGTGGGCTTGGTGCTGGGTGGCAGAGGGAAGCCAGGTCAGGGATGGCACGCCCTCTGCCACCACATGGCCAACGTCACCACCACGGCTTGTATTCTCCCGGGCAGGTGAGGACAGCAAGGACCCCAGCCTGTGCTCCCATCCTCCATGCTTGTGTGTCTATCAAGGGTTGTCCCTGGGCCAGGCCCCCCTCCCCGATGCCAGGCAAATACGGAGGGGACCCCGTCAGAGGCTGGGGGGGACACGCAGGTGAAAACAGACAGTGCGGTGGACACGGCCCAGTGTGTCTGGGGGTGGGGGAGGGCTCTGGACAGAAGCCACGAGGTCCCGGCACTCACGTCATAGCAGATGCCCTCGGCACCCCTGCCCGCAGGTCCTTAACCTGGCCGCGGCGGCCCGTGGTACTCACATTACAGTAGACACGCTTCTGCACCCCGTAGCGCAGGACCAGCACATCGAAGGCTTGGTTCAGGACGCCCAGCACCATGGCTTCTGACTCCAGGGGGCCGCTTTCCTGCAGGGCAGGGCTCTAGCCAAGGCCTGGCCACAGGATGTGGCATCACCCCCAGGGCCCACCCCAGCTGCCGGGGGGCCCTGAGCTCCCTGAGAGCTCCCTGTGAGCCGGTGCCCAGGAGGGGAAGTGGGGTGGAGGAGGGGGAGAGGGGGCCCTGGGGGCGGCCTCACCTTAACCAGGATGGCAAAGAAGAGGCCGGTGCTGAGCTCCTGGACGCGCTTGGAGGCCATGCGGCGGTCATTGCAGTGGTCGGCCTGCTTTTGCAGGGCCTCGGACTCCAGGTCGGGCAGCTCCCCGTAGCCTGGGGAGAGGGTGGGTGCGGGGCTGCTGGCGGGGTGCTGTGCGTATGCCGGCCACGGCTGGGGACAGGCGGCACAGTGCTCCGGGCGGCCCACGCTGAGCTGAGGTCTCTCTGCTGCCCAGCTCCGAGGGTTTGGGGTGGGGGGCAGCCACGTTTAGGGCCCTTGGCTTTTGTATAGGACTTCTAATGAGCTCTACTGCAGCCGACCCCTAGCATGCTCACGGCGGGGTGGGGGTGGGCTGGGGAGGGTCTCTGGGCCCAGGCTCCCCTGCTGCTCGGCTGGCCACCCCTCGGGGCCTCTACAGCCATGCAGTGTGGCCTCTGGCTGCTAGGTACCCACTCTGGGCCTGGGCAGCCCTTAGGTGGGCGCAGGCCTGCACGAGCCCCCGGGCTGTGCTTCTTACCAAGCGCGGCGGCCAGGAGGCGGTGCACCAGGACGTCGGCGAAGCGGCGGATGGGAGAGGTGAAGTGGGTGTAGAGCGGCACATTGAGGGCGTAGTGCCGGAACTGCGTCTGGTCCTGCAGCACCCCCGAGCAGAAGTACAGGGCCATCTGGGGGGGGGGGGGTCTTAGAGCCAGGCCGGGCCAGGCCACGGCTGGGTTTGCCCGGCCAGGCTGTGACACTCGGAGGCTCGGGATGGGCTGCTTTGGAGTGGCCTGACCCACCAGGTCGCAGGCGGCGGACCACGGGCCTGAGGAGGCCAGGGGCCATTCTCTGTAAGGGGACCCAGGGGCTGCCATGGGGCTGCGCCCAGCCACGACGCATCCACGCCCCTCTCCCGCTGAAGACAAATGTGGGCCTTGCCCCAGGTTGTGCAGACCCCTCGTGGCGGCAGCACCTAGAACAGGCCAGAAAGCACCGCAAGGGGCCCACCCCGCCTCTGTGGGCACAGGGGGTGCGGGGAAACCTCCAGCTGCCGGAAGGCCCCCTCCCTCGGAGCCTGGTGGGGCCGGCCCTGGAGCCCCTGGGGAGGGCGGACCACGGGCTGAAGTCTGAGCGCAGCTGGGGAGGAGCTCGGCCTGCGGCTGTCGTTTTAGGGGCGGTTACTGCCAGCCACAAGCAGGGAGCGGCTCTGGCCTGCTCCACGGGATGGGAGGAGGGGAGGCGGCCTGTGGCCGGCCAGACTGGGCCTGCGGACATGCTGTGGAGGCAGAAGCGGAAGCCGGGGCGGCCACAGGGCTCTGTGAGGACGCGGAGCCCGCCGCCGCCGCCACCCGGCCAGAACGGCCCGCCCGTAGAAGAGAAGGCGCGGGATGCCTGGTACCCACCTCCAGGGACATGGGCAGTGGGCGCCTGGCTCCCTCCTCTGTGGCCCAGGCCTAGTCTTTGGTGGTGACCGACCTCATGCCCTCCAGCCCTGATCCCGGTCCCGTGGAAGGCCATGCTGGCCCCCTGGCACCTCCGGGCCCCCCTACCGGCAACCCCGCGCCAGCCAAGGGAGGGAGAGGCTCACCAGCCGCCAGCCTCAGCCCTCGTCCCTGACAAGCCGTCCTGGCACCAAGACTCAGAGGTCTGAGTTCAAGAGGCCCCTCTGCAGGGGAGAAGTGAGGACCGGGGTACACGAAGAGAGGCCGAGTTTCTCCAGGCCTTGGTGGTTCTGCTGTGTGGGTGGTTTGGCCACAGTCCCCGCAGCTGCCTGCCCTGTGGCCCCCGAGCTCTCGGGGCTGGGACTCAAGCACGCGGCGAGGAGCAAGTGAACAGGTTCCTCACTGAGGGCCAAAGTCACACCCTTGGGTGTTCACTCGCTCGCTCCCCTTGCCGCCTGTGCGCTCGGCCAAGTGGACAGCCCGCTCCGGTTACCGTGTGTGTCGGGCCAGGAATCAGGGCGCAGCTGGTGATGACCTGCTCAGCTCCCCGAGGCCGCCTCCCAGCTCCTGCTGCAGCCTGGGTTATGTCCGGGGCAAGTCACCAGGGGACGGGGGGGCAGCCTCCACGCCGAGCCACGTTTGGGCGTTGTTTTCAGTGGTGGTGGCCCAGTTCCCCACATAAGCTGGGGTGAGGAGCACAGAGGCCCTGGTCCCCTTCCTGGCTGGGAAGGTGCCTCTGGGTGGGGTGGGATGGGCGGGGACTGTGACTTCTCTGGGACAGCAAAGTCCCAGGTGTCCTGTTTCAGCTGCTTCCTTGGGACGTTTGTGCTCATTATTGCTGCCGCTGCCTGGTCCCCTGTCCCCGTCCTAGCTCTCAGGGGCACCACAGAAACTCCATAGCCCCCTGTCATCAGCTCCCCATACAAAGGCCAGCCCTGAAGGTCACTCACTGGCAGGCAAGGCCAGAAGTCCACTCTTTTTCAGGCTCTGGGTGACTCAGGAGAGGAGAGCTCCTTTCCACAGAGCTCCAGGGCTAGTTTGACCTTTGAGATGGACAGTTCCAGACACTTCCAGAGGCAGGGGGCAGGGAACGGGAGCCCAACTGGCCCTGCCTGGCACAGTCAACAGGCAGTTGCTGAGACCCAGGGGCGACCGTGTCTCAGAGTAACTAGAGGGCAGAGTGACATCGAGTCCCGTGGCCACAGGCACACCTGCCCCTCTGTGTGGTGTGCTTTAAAGGTGCTTGGTGGGGGCAGACGCTTGTGACCAGGGACAGGGTAAAGACAGCCAGACCCAAAAGGGCCCCGATGGCTCCATTCCTGGCAGAAAATATGAGTGTCAGGAAATAAATTGGCTGTGGCTAGCTGAGGTGACCCGGTTCTTGTGAACAGATTGAATCTGCAGAGTGACTGAGCCCCTGAAAAATGGTCTGTCACTGCCCCCTGGCCAGAATGGGGCCCCGAGCTGGCCCCATTAGTATCTGCAGATCCTGCTGACCTGACAGGCCGGTGGGGTGGCTCCTTCCCAAGATGCTGGGGCCTGCAGGGGCTGAAGCTCAGCCTCAGAGGGCTGAGACGTGCTGCTAGGAGCAAGTTCATTGTCTACCTCCCAGGCTGCCCGCCCGTCACACTGCCTGCGACAGGCCCACCGCCTAACTCCTCTCCTACCAGCTAGCAAGAGGGAAACTTCTCTGCCTGGGGTCCACAAGGCATGGTGGGGGCTGATGACTTCTCCTCTGGGCAGGCTGCTATGGGAGACAGATAATCTCCTCCCTCCAGGGTGCCCATCCAACTGAGTTGCTAACTAGCCCCCATTCCTTCCCCGAGCTGGTCTGGTCTGCGGGGACTGGGCACCGAAGGCTTGGTGTGTGCCTGGGATGACTCCCGGCCTTCAGCTAGGAAACAGAGCCCCAGAGGCCATGCAGGGGGCAGCGGGGCTCAGACTGGGCCCTTTAACGGCCCCACAGAAACCATCCTTGAGCAGGTAAGGCAGGCAAGTCTGTGTAGGACTGTGTAGGAGGCAGATCGGGCTCAGGAGCTCAGGGCTCACTTGTCCTAGGTAATGCCTGGGGCTGTCCTCCCGACCCCTCCCCTTAGGTCCTCTGCGTGTGGAGGTCAGGGATGCTCCTGGGAGAAGGGGGAGGTTGGCGGACCAGGCCCCTCCTTACCTGCATGGGCCGGGAGCACATGTTGGTGAGCACTTCCTTCCGGGCCAGTGAGTACTTGTCATCTCCAAATGTTTTGGTCAGACTTTTCTAGAAGCAAACCGTGTGATAGGCAGTCAAGCTGGGGCAGGCTCTGGGGCCCCTGTCACCCTCTGACCATCCGAGACCTGGCTCTGGGGAGGAAGGGTATGCTGAGGGGCTCCACCCTGCTCAGAAAGCCATGGTGGAGTGCGGAGGCCAGCAGCCCCCAGCCGGTGTCCCACACTGGGCCGTGGCTCTGACGTCAGCCCTTCCATGTCTTGTTGGCTGGACAGAGAGACTGGTTTCCAGTTGTCTGACCTAAGGCATCTCTCTGCCTACCCCAGGCTTAAAAGCCCAGATGGGAACAGCCTCCCTTCCGGGGGATCAGAGCTCAGGCCTGCGCCCCACAAGGCTTAGTTCCAGGAAGGGAGCACTTGACACCACTTACCATTAAAACATTCTCGGGCTTCCAATCATCTCAGCCCCCTAACTGAAAGTTTCTGGGCCCAGCCCAGCCCAGCCCAGCTCTGGCCGCAGGATCCCTGCCCATGGAGGACTGTAGAGTGGCTTTCCCTCAGCCTGGTCCTGGTGGGAAGCATGGCCCATGGCCGGGGCCTCTGTGACTAGGAGGCCTCCTCTCCCCAGGGCCTCCCCCTTCCTCTGCACCCCCAGCACTCACATTGAGGGCCCCGGCAGAGCTGAAGTCCATGGGCAGCCCCATCTGTTCGCAGAATTCCACGAGGTCATTGAGCATCTTGGTCTGGGGTGGGGGGTGCCGGCGCAGCAGGGCACGCTCAGGGAAGGTGCGGTGTGTCTTGTGGGCCACTGCCATGTTGGCCAGGAGCATAAACTCCTCCACGAGCCTGCAGTGGGGGTGGGGTGGGGTGGGGGGGATCCAGCAGGGGTCAGGGTTGCCGCTGCCTGTTCTTGCCCAGGCTACCTGCAGGCTGGCTCTCTCGTGCCCTTCGGTCTCAGCCCAGAGACGCCCTCCTGCCACCCAATCTCATCCCCCTTGCTCATGCCCCTCTTTGCGCTAACTCCTCAGGAGCTTGTGCACCACCTCCCCATTGTCCTGGGGGGGGTGGCATCTGTCTTCTTCTCTGCCGTGGCCCCTGTGCTTGGCACCCCAGCACCCTGCCTGACAAAGAGAAGGTGCTCAATAAAGCTGTCTGCTGAATGATTCGCCTCCCAGGACACCAAGGGGCGTCCCCAGCTGTAAGAAAACGAGATGCCCAGGCCTGCCAAGAGAACTCGGAACGCCTCCTGGGGGTGCGTAAAAGGTGGTCAGCAGACCCAGGGCTCCCTTCTCTTCCGGAGGAGAGGAGGGTTTCTGAGGATGAGCAGGAGGGTCACAGACAGCAAGAGGAATCACACAACCTGGGGCGAGGTAAATGTGCTGTCGAGGTGTTCAAATCTCAGTTAACCTCTTAGGATTGAACACTTGAGTGTTGCTGCCCTCGCGTGCAATTAGAATCAATAAGTATGGATAGATACGGCTTCGAGTGGAGAGACAAAATTACCCCCAGGACCCAGGGAGAGGGGAGAGGAGCGGGGCCTGATGGCGGAGGAAAGAAACGTGCCAAGACTGAGGAGTCAGGCAAAGTGGGAAGCTGGATTGCACAGCCCTGAGGTCGGCACCCCCACCCCCCAGATCTGGGGCAGGAGGCCATGTGCTGCTTCCCCCACCCAGGGCTCCGGTGGGAGGATGAGCAGATCACACACAAGCATGAGAGCAGAAGCCCCTGGAAAGGGGGCTTGGGCACGCTGCTGCCATCGTGGCCAGGGTGCCCTGTATGGGGACAGCCTTGCCCAGTTCAGGGACCACTCTCCCTGCCTTTATTCTGGACCCCAAGCTGCACGTCAAGTCTGTGCTTTTTTTTTTTTTTTTTTTAGATTTTATT